AGCTGCCAGAGCTCTGCCACCTTCCTCCCTCACCCTAAGTAGTTCTGTCCTAAGTAAGGCAATGTACCTTTTGTCTCTACCTTCCATGCCCACCCTTGTCCAATAGCTATGAGAGTGGAGTCTGCACCCAGAGGACACCCCTTCCCCGCGCCCATGCCCCCAGCATGTGCATTCGGGTGTACTGGCTTCCACACCAATGTAAAGTATATGCTGAGCAGTGAGTTAATGAATGTCCCTTGCTGACCCCCGTTCCACCTATGCGTTGTTGCTACATTGCCCCGGGACCCTGCCCAGCCTGCGTGCTCCCTCCCTCTGTAGTCTTGCTTACGGTTAGCGCTGACACCATATGACCTCCTGGGCTTGCTCTCAGCTGATAGCTTGCCATGCTATATCCAACTGCATGTCTTTCTGGTGCGTGACACTTTCAGTGAACACTCCCCGGTTCCCTAGTCTAGGGACTCCTAGCCAAGCTTCCAGATCTTTAATTGTGTTCAGCCGTCTGTTCCAGCCCTCTGGGATGCCTGCTCTTTCACTTTTCCTCTCCACCCTCTACTTCATGGCGCCAGGATCCTTGGCAAGGACCATGTAGAATGCTGGCGTAGGCCAGATAGGCACCCTTCTTGCTGTCTTCAATGCGTTCCTCATGAGCCAAGTTGTATACGCCGTAAATGTCATGGCTGCAGCTGTCCCGGAGGGGAGGAGCTTGAGGCATGAGGGTGTGGTGTTTGCCCATTTGACAGGGTAGGATCCTAAGCACCCTGAGTGGGTGAATGCCACACCACACACCTCCAAGAAGTGCCCTATGAAAGGTCCTTGGTGTGATGAAGGCAGAGCCTCAGAGAAAGCCAGCAGCCACGCATGGGAGGTGGCTGGGTAGAGGTAGCCACAAAGGGGCAGCAGCTGCTGCTGCCACCCTAGGGACATCAGCTGGCTTAATCCAGCAGGCTGATGGGGGTGATGCCACCTCCAGCCTAGTGTTTATTCAGGCGGCAACAGGCTTTGCTGTTCCCATGAGGAAAATAAACCATATAACTCTTCTGGGTTTTTAGAGCTGGCCTGCGTCAAACCCTCCTCTGTGGAAATCCAAACTAAAGGCCTTGCTGAAATCAAAAAGAGAATTAGACTATAAACCAATGGGCAGGGAACCCCTGGGGCCCAGTGGGCAGGAGGCAGGAGTTGCACCTGTGGGCTGCTGCACTGGAAACTCAGGTTTGGGGGTGCTCAGGAATCAGAGGGCAGCCTTTCATATAATAAAGACACTCAAGCCCACGTGCCCCACCATCTCGAGCACTCCAAAATATCAGCCATTTGGGTGGAGTCCTGGGGCCCTTGCTGGGAAGTGGGTCTAAGCACAACTCAGCCCTCTTGGAGTGCTGTCCCTGCCCTTGGTGAGGAGTCAGTACTGGCCTCTTTTTGTGTGTCATATTCATTTAGTTTCCCACAATTCTTTACTCTTGTTGATATTTTCTCATTTCTTGGTCTGTTGTTTACTTCCTCGTGGAAGATGACCTTCCCCAGAGTGGGATCCTCACTGAGCTGTTCCTGCGGTCCTCAGCATCCATGCCTGCTCGCTGGGCCACCCCCACTGAAGCCACCCCTGCGGTCCTCAGCATCCATGCACTAACAGAGAAGTTACACAATGGCCTCTGCATTGCCGGCCTTTGTTCTCTGTCTTAGAGTAAAAAGCTATGGGAGAGATGGCTGCTCTAGGCTTGTTCATAAGGATGCCAGAGACCAGGAATCTTTCCGCCCTCACCCAGGAAGACCTTGGCTGTCAGAAACAGCTTTTCCCTACTTCTGTTTACTTCTGTTTACTGCTACCTCAAATTTGAGGCAGCATTTCTCAAACTCCTTTGTGGACTCAGCACACCTGGAGATTTGGGGGAAATGAGGGTTCTGATCCTGCAGGTCTGGGAAGGGGGTGGTGCTGATGGTGCTGGCCTCTTGTCCATACTATGAGTAGTGAGGCTCTGTGGAAGCCCAGCATCCTGATTTGCTCTGTGGATATAGGACCTTTCGTGCATCTGAAAGTTTACTACAGGGATGCTGCGGCATCTTTGAAGTGCTCGGTCCTGCGGAGGACGGGCTGGACTGGCTGGGCACCCTTAGAAGTTAGTAAGTGAACTTCAGGAGCAAAGGCCAGGGGGTCAGGCGATGAGTCAGCTCTGCCACTTTTTATTTTTATTTATCATGATGGTGTGTAAAAGTGATATGTGTATGTGTGCCATGGTTCACGTGTAGAGGCCAACTTTGTGGAGTCGAGTTCTTTCCTTCCAACTTTATGTGGGTTCTGGGAATGAAACTTAAGTTTCCAGGTTTTTTGAAGCAAGTGACTTAGCCCTCAGAGCCATCTTACTGGCCTTCTACCAGTTTTTTTTTTCCTTTTAATGACATTTAGCAAATTGTACCCATGCTGTAGGCTCAGCAACTTCTCTCTAATAGGAAAGGTTAGGCCTGAGTGCTGTTCCAATGGTGATGCTATGGACAATATCTGCCCAGTGTATTCTCTGTACAGTCAGATGTGCCAGTCCATTCCATCCTCATAGCCATGCCTAGGGCATGTGCTGGTGCTGCCAACACTTCGCTAATGGGAAACGGTTGCCGAGGGAGTTTAAATAACTCGCCTGAGGTCATCAAGCTAGGAATAGCAGCAGTGAGGTGTGAACCGGACACCCTCCTCCGGAATCGATGACTTTAACCATTGCACCCCGGAAGCCCTGTCGGGAAAAGGCCACACGCTCTCATTCTTGTTGACTTCTCCAAACGAGACCGGTTTCTCACGGACTGTAGCTTTCGCAGTGAACTCTGTGCCATTGAGAGAGCCTGGCATGGGCTAACCTGTGGAGACCATGAGACCTCGTAGAGCGCAAGATGAACTGCCCCTCAAACGCTGCGCTGGCCGCTCTGGAGTCTGGAAAGTTCAACAAGACTCTACTGCACTCCCCTGGGCCACCCCCACAGGAGGCCTGGAGCCACAGTGTCTGGGTGTCACCATCCTCTTGGATATGTGAACATCAGCTTGGCTCTGAGCCACCCAGGCTCCCTTCTAGGACATTAGTGGCACCAACTAGGCTGCAGGGCTCTGCTTTTGAAACCTCTAAGCTCTTGTGCTTTTGTCTGGTAAAGTGTAGAGAGCAAATATATCTTCTCTTTTACTCGGCTGCTTCCTCTGTCAACCTCACCAGCTTAAAAAACAGGTCCCAAGGTGAACACATCTGACATCTAATTTTAACTGATTTTGTGTGCATGTAACCCTGGGGGTTGAACCAAGGACCTTACACATGCTAGGCAAGTGTTCTACTGCGGGCTACATCCTCAGCTCTTTTTATGTCTTTTATTTTGACAGTAAGTTGCTGAAGCTGAACTTGAGCCTGCTCTGGATCCCAGGCTCTCCTTGAGTTTGCTCTGGATTCAAGGTTGCCCTTGAGTTTTCTCTGGATCCCAGGCTGCCCCTGAGTTTGTAGTCTTTTTTTGTTCCAGCCTCCTATGTAACTGGGACTATAAGCCTGGGCTACCAGCCCTAGTTATATAGCCTATTTTATTATATTTATTTTCAGAGCTGAGAATGGAACCTGGGGCCGTATCAAAGATAGACAAGGCTTCTACTACTTCTACTGCTGAACCACATCCCCAATCCTGCCTTTTAAAAAACCTTTTATTTTTATTTGTATATGGGGGCATGCACAGGTGCACACACACTCACACACATGTGCACATGTCACAGCATGTATGTGAAGGTTGGAGGACAGCTTGCAGTAGCTGGTTCTCTTCTTCCTCCATGTCCAGGAATTGAAACCAAGTCATCCCCCTTGGTGGCAAGCACCTTTTCTTGCTGGGCTATGTTGCTAACTCCACTCAGAAATAACATTTTGAAGGGTTTTATTTTTATTATTTTTAATTATGTGTACATCTATAGGCCTGTGTGCCTGTGTGTCCGTGTGTGGGCACGTGCATATGAATGCAGGTGTCTACAGAGGCAGGAGGTGTCAGATCTCTGTGGAGTTGTAGTTACAGGAGGGGTATGAGCTTCCTGATGTGGGCGCTGGGAACCGAACTTGGGTCTTCTGCAAAAGCCCACGTAGAACATGTAGAGACTCATAGAAGCCTTAGTGTAGGACCATAATTGGACAATGTTGGATCTCTAAAGTCGCTTCCTCTAAAATAAAATTCTGGGCAGAGGGCATGGCTAAGCTCTGTGATTCAGATCCCACCCACGCCCGCCTTCGGCAGGTACCTCCCCCGACTCCTGCTGGAACGTTCTGTCATGTCCGTCAGGTGAAGAATGCGCTGCAGTGTCTCTCCTCAGTGACAGCAGCCCCCTCCCCGAGACAGAACTCCGGGGGCATTTGGAGCCTGCCTCAGGCATTCGGAAGATGGCAGTGCCAGCTGACCATGATGCAGCTTTGGCCCTTTCTGGTGTGAACCAGGGTTAGAGCCTGGCAACTGCCAACTTGGGGTCGTTTCAGGCAGCTGTTCTAAGGCATGGGTAGGAAACTCTGAAGTCAGCCTACCCATTTTCTGTGTGAGTGATCCAAAAGCACGGGAACGAATGGTCTGCGCTCACAGGAAAGCAGTTAGCACACTCCTTTCTCCGACCAGCTTTTCTAAAGTCACCTCAATACACTTCTTTCATCCACCGAATGACTGATTCACTTGTGCAAGTGAATGGAATCGCTGGCACTGTTCTTCATCACTTGGTAAGAACACTGTATACTAAGAGCCAAAAAAGAGCCTGCCGGGTGCCCTGGCCATGGCAGTACTGTTAGTAAGGAAGCTGGGGTAGTCTGGGCATGCTTAGCAGTTGGGTGTCTCAGAGCTGGAAACACTGGGTGCCTGTCACTGGTTGCCAGACCGGTGAGCCTCACTCTGAGCCATCCCATGTAGCTCCATGGCTGCCTATCTCCACGCCTACACATCTCATGGTAGCTAGTTGCCTGTTGCCTGTCTCCAAAACATTTTAATGTATTCTCTTTTCAAAAACTCTTCCCCCCCCCCCCCAGGAAGTTTCTAAAAATCTCACCAAGGAAAACGAGCAAATCAAAGAGGATGTGGAAGAAATTCGAACCGAGATGAATAAGCGAAGCAGAGAGAACTGCTCTGAAAACCTCCGAGGCAGCATGCCCGACATCCGCTCAGCCCTGCAGAGGGATGCTGCGGCAGCCTATGCCCACCCAGAGGTACAGCCCCACACCCCCAGGGCATCTCCTCAGCCTGGAAGCATGAGATCCGCTTCGGGAAGAGCTCTTCGGGGCTTAGTCCTTCCACAGCCAGGGTCTCTCTTCTGTGTAACAGCTCCTTAGGTGTGATGAGCAGGGATTAGCCCAGCTTCACTTGAAACTGACAGCCAGGGAAGTTCAGCGAGTAAGGACGGAAGTTGGTACTCAAATCTGGATCTCTTCTGAGCCTTGGCACCATTCTCACAATGCCCCTATTTGTGAGCGTGTCCTTGCAGGACATATGTACTCTCGTCCCTGGGAGCATCCAGGTTTGCGCCTGTCCAGGCATCATGACTGATAGCACATTTTTCCCTCTCAGAAATGTCTCAGCTTGGAGACAATAAACAATATGGTCCTCCTGCTTATAAGGGACTTGTTTAGCCACTGTCATCACTGTGTGGTCATCACTGAAGTTCTGGAAAGCAGGCCAGACACAGGTCAGTACCCCATCTTACAGATGGACATAGATCTTGGATCAATTGGAAAGCAGAGGCAGAGCTGCTTCGACCCAGTTGTAAAGCCCTGCCAGTCATCCCAGCATGTAGGGAAGCAAAGGAGGAGTGGAAAGGGGTTAGAGTCCTCATCTGACTTCTCCCACTAGGCCATGTCTTTTTTTTTTTTTTTTAAGACAAGGTTTTTCTGTAGCTTTGGTGCCTGTCCTGGAACTGGCTCTTGTAGACCAGGCTGGTCTCAAACTCACAGAGATTCATCTGCCTCTGCCTCCCGAGTGCTAGGATTAAAGGTGTGAGCCACCACTGCCCAGCTTAGGCCCCATGTCTTAAAGCTTGTGTCACCTCACAAAACAACAGGCCTGAGACTAAGCCTTCAATACATGGACCTTTGAGGGGGGAACTTAAGATCCAAACTAGCAGGCCACATTATTTTGTGGAATTCTGTGGCCTGGGTCATTGTGAATTTGGATAGGAAGGAAGGTTGTGTATGTGGACTCAGGACTCTTTTTTTCTTTTGGTTGGTTGTTGGTTAGCCTAGGCTAACCTAGGCTAGCCTCAGACTTGCTGTGTTGCCAGGGATGGTCTTGAACTCCTGATCCTCCTGCCTCCACCTCCCAGATGCTGGGGTTACAGAATCTGTAGACCACCGTGCCTGGTCTATGAGGTGCTAAGGACTGAACCCAGGACTTTATGCAAGATAAGCACTTTGCAAAGCAAACTACATTCCCAGATTACAGGCCCAGAACTCTTGGGTAAAGAAACTCATTGTAGTGGGGCCAAGCAGGCATACCTGGTGGGTCTGGGAACTTTGGGGCACATATGTTCTGAAGGCAAAATGAGAGGACTTTGAGGCTACAAGCACTGGAAAATTATGGTTGTGGACTTCCCCAAGATGTAAGTCAAAAGTGATTCTATGCTATAAAAACGAGAAAGGGTAATAATTATCTGGCTTTTTATGTTTTTGAAACATTATATTTCTTCAGAAATATTTTTTCTCATGTTTGAGTATCCCTGACACGTTGGCCACTAAACATGTGTTTAGCCTGCCTGGGGGGTCATCCCTGAGGGGAACCCAAGATCGTAACCCCAAAGCCAGACGATTTGGGGAACCAGAAAGAGGCTTGAGGGCACTTGCTCCCCACTTGGATCCTCTACCCCTCATCTTAGTCTCCTACTGTCCAGTGCGGCCAGTACTCCTTGCTGTCTGCTTCCAGCTTCCCAGCCAGCCAGCTAAGCTGGAGAATTTCGTCTGTTGTTTTGATGATACATTCTGTGGTATGTTCAGGAACCCAGCTCAGGTTTCCTGAGGGCAAACCAAATCAAACACATCAAACTCCTTTCCTCCTTGCTCAGCAAAGTCCACATCCTTCCTTAAGTCCCCACAGTGCACAGTGCTGAAGTTAGCACAACCCACCTAGCCAGGCTGGTAGTGTAGGAGGCCCAAAGGTAGACTCACCGTCTCCCTGTGCTTGCAGCCCTGTGTCTTTGGTGAGCACCATGCTGCAGCAGGGGAAACAGTTTAGTTGTTGATCTTTGGTTTTTGCAGATAGTGTCAGGAAGTTCTTGGAATAGCAAGTGATTATTTGTACGGTGGTCTTCCAACACGGGCCTTGTCTAGAAGTCTGGCAGAGGGAGGGGCTCAGAGGCTAGGCTGAGTGGCAGAGTGGGAGTAGAAACACTAGATGCCAGGAGATGAAGTCATTTGGCAGACTCTTGGATGAACAGAGAGAGGCAATCAGAGCATGGTGGGGGCAGCTGCCACCCAGTTCAACTTGTCGCCAGTGAATCCAAGGAAATTATATGTTGTCTGGCAAAGGCTGTCCACTGTCTTGCTCCATATCCTTGGCTGGGACCAAGAACTGCAGTCCCTGCCCTTTCCCGAGCTCCTGGAACTAACGACAGTTCCTGAGGTTTGCCACAAAGGAATGACAGCTAGCTTCTGTAACACAGAGGGAAGCCAGGGCCAGCATCAATTAGATGCCCCTGGGCATTTGAGGTAGGGGCTGCGGCGGGGCCGCCTGTCAGCCGCACAGGCCGCTCTTTCCACTGGGAAAGGAAACATCTTCCATGTCTGCTGGGCAGTTGCCAGGCCACAGCCCTGGGGACAAGGGGATGCAAGCCACTTTTGGGATGACAAGCAAGTAGTCTTGTGGTTACAACCAGTGTGGCTTAGTGTAAGGAAGAACATAGGCCCAGGAAGTGACAGCAAGGCCTACATGGTGATTGTGTGACTTCATTTGTATCCTCCTCAGCCACTTCATTGAGTGATCTTTCAACTAAGTTGTTAAATGTTTTCTCGTTGATGAAATTTTTGTAATGTTACATTGCTCCATTTTTGTGAGGACTAAAAATAACAAATAGTGGATTTGGCCGTAATAGGTGCTCACTAAAGTAGCATGACCAGCAAACAGACGTCCCCATTCCTCTGGGAGAGGTTACCTTACAAGAGCAGAGGTTTGAGGGAGACCCAGGGAACTGGCATGGAGGATGGGAGCTGCCCAGATCACTGCTGACATCCTAGCATGCTTTGTGTTCTCCTGGGCCATTCTTTGACTCCAGTGAAGGGAGACTGGCAAAGATGTGTACACATCCTTCCAACTGCCCGTCACCACTATGTGCCAGAGAGACACACATATTTAGGGTCTGCCGTATCTGTTGCACCATTTGGCAAAACTTTCGTCATGGGAAAACTAGTGCAGACGTGAGTTGTAGTGGGAAGGGAGCGTGCCAGGCTTTCTCCAGGCTGGATTTAAAGGTCAGAACAAAAGCTTGGTTTGCCCCCTTTGCACACAGTGACGGGGTGTTGTCATGATGGCTGGACCTCTGTAACTAATAAGGAGTGGATAAAGCCCTACTGTGCCCTACCCTGGGTGCTGTTTCTATTAGGGCCTTCCTCCCAAGGCCTGGAAGTTTGGGGTTTAAGGAACCTTACCCCTCCCCTCTGATCAAGGAGGAGGCTGATAGCGCTGGTGACCTCTGTCCTCAGCCACTGGCATCCTCAGGAGAGCAGGGTTGGCCCCGTGCTCCCATACTCACAATCAACTACTCCTGAGAGCTGGAGTCGCCTGCAAGGTGGCCCTGACTTTGAGTCCAGCCAGTACAAAACTTGCACCCATAGTTCTTTGCTCACCACGTGGGTGATTGTCCTGCCTGGGGAAGCTATTGTGATATTGTCACACAACAGACTCAGGAGGCCAGTGTGTGGCAATAGCCTCTGAAGGGCAAGGTAATTTTTCAGCACAGCCAGCGCCATCAAGGTGACATTCTCATCGTGTCCTTGGGATTTCCCAGACTCGAGGATGCTTATCTTGAGGCTTCATGTCACTTGACAAAATCAAATGCTAATCATAAATGAAGGCGGTTCCTTGAGATTATTATGATTCAGAACTTTAGTAGATATTAAGCAACATCTGCCTGGGGAAGTGAGATCATGGGATGGCCTCTTCTCTTTCAAATTCTCACAGTCTAAAGAAGCGACAGCTTCCTTCAGTAGTGCTCATGGAAAGCATCTGTCTTGGAAGTGCAATGTTATTTCCCTTGAGAATTGAGTCTGTGACTCAAAAACAGGTTTTTGGTTTTTTTTTTTTTAACATTGGAGATCCACCTAACTCTGCCTCCAAAGTGCTAGAATTAAAGACATGCATTAGCACACCAGGCCTGTGCCTTGATTTCTTCATCTGTGAATGGACGTGATAAAAAGTAGCCTGATTCTTTTTTTGTTTGTTTGTTTGTTCATTTTTTCGAGACATGGTTTCTCTGTGTAGCTCTGGCTGTCCTAAAACTTGCTCTGTAGACCAGGCTGGCCTTGAACTCACAGAGATCCGCCTGCCTCTGCTCCAGCACTGTCCGTCCTGTCCCATCTCTCTGACCAGTGAGTGACTTGTCCTTTCATTTTGTCCCCTCTGAGGAACAGTATGAAGAACGGTTTCTGCAGGAGGAGACCGTGTCCCAGCAGATCAACTCCATTGAACTCCTGAGGACGCAGCCGCTGGCTCCCCCTGCAGTGACGAAGCCGCAGCAGCCCCTGCAGAGAGAGGTGTACCTGAGGGGTCGGCAGGCCTCCAAGCCCACCGTCATCAGGGGAATCACCTACTATAAAGCCAAGGTCTCTGAGGAGGAAAATGACATTGAAGAGCAGCGTGAGTCCGGGTCAGCGGGACGGCCCCAGAGGCAGGGCAAGGAGGAAACGGCCATTTGGATCCTGCAGAGATGGGGCTCCACACACTGCCCATGGCGCAGTGTTCAGTTACCTAGGTGTTTGCTGAGAAGCCTTGGGCAGGTCACCTAAGTTTTCTGGGTTTTAGAAGACACCATGGCCAAGGATAGATGAGCTGGGGGAGGGACTTCTGCATCCTCTTGTCCAGTCCTTGTTTGCAGATGGAGGAAACCAAGGCCAGGACAGAATGACTTCCTTGGAGACACTTGGTAGGCTCTGCCATCTGCTCCTCTCCGGGGTCATCAGGCTGGCTGAGTGTCCAGCACCTGCCCCTGTCCACCTTCAACCTTCCTGCCTTTTCATAAGGAATAGACGAGCCTGTTTCTGTGTTGTCTCCACATCTGCTGTCATCTTTCTTTTCCTTGCCCAAAGCTCCCAGGAAGCCACTATTCCCCCTCCCTAAGCCAGCTCTTTTCCTCACTGGGATTTGGAAACAGCCTTCCACGCTGCCTTCCTGCTTCAGCTTGCTCTTTCGTCAGCTGCTTTATCCTCAGCCTGAAGCTGCGGAGTCATTTCACCTGCTTTAGCTGTGTTTTCCGTTACTGACTGCAGGAGCTCTCTCCAAATCCAGCTGCCCCGACCAGCCCCTGGGATGCCTTCTCCTTTCCTGCTGCTTGTAGTTTCTCTTACCTCCTGGTGTTCTCAATGAACAGCTGGAATCTAACTTTCTGGCTAATTTTTTTTGCACCTAGACTCTTGTCTCCTCTGATGAATCTTTGCTTCCCATGTCTTTTCTGCCCAGAACCCTTCAGCTTCATCCATGTCACCCAGAATAAAAACTGAATTCTACAGGGACGCCAAGCTACCTGTGACCCAAACTCCGTTTTCCTCTGACCTTACCTCCCGCTCACACCCTCTGCTGTGTCCACACCGGCTACCTCAGTGCTCCTCAGCCTCCGCAGGCTTATTCAGGCCAGGGCTTCTCATCACTGTCTTTCCCACCTAAACTCCTTCCATCCCCTCCCCCTTGCTGCTCGGCTTACTGTGTTACCCTCTCCAGGATCGCTCCCTATCCATCTCAGTGAGTCTCATCTGGCCACTCTGTTCGTTCCTGCAAGGTTTTAGTCTTTTTATTTTCTGTCTTTCTTCCTTTAAAATTATTTTTTAGCTATTGTTTTCCAGGCTGGCCTCCAACTGGCTGTGTAACCCAGGCTATCCTTGAACTCAGAATCCTCCTGACACACTTTCCCAAATGCTATCATTGCAGGTGTGAACTGGCCAGGCTCATAGTCCTTGACTGCTCCTCCCCAGTCCCCCACAAAGCTGGGGTAAGAATAGCAACAATTTGTTCACAGGCTCCCAAGGAAGGACACTGCCCTTCTAACCATGTACTTGCCCATCTTCTAAGTCCCCAACCAGAATGGTTTGGGATAGACCTCAACTTGAGGACTTGTATAACACCCACGAGGCCTAGGTTCGACCGCCAAAAAGGAAATAAAAGTGATAACGTGAAATTTTGCCGGCACTCCCTCTTCAAAATCACTGCCACTTTGCAGCAAGGAACCCCATTCACCCGCCAGTTGCCCCCCCCCCATTCTTGGTCAGGTTGTTCCTTGCCCCATGCCACAAATGAGTCTTGTGTTTGTTCCACAGACGATGAGCTTTCCAGCGGCGACACTGGCGTGGACTTGCTGATTGAAGATCAGCTCCTGAGGCATGAAGACCTATTGACAAGTGCCACCCGGAGGCCAGCACCCACTCGCCACGGTGCTGCTGTAACAACTGATGCAAGTGTCCAGGCCACATCCTCGTCCTCAGGCCAGGCCTCTGCCTCAGCAGCCCGCCTTGCTGATCCTGACCAGGCCTCAGCTGGACAGCTCTTGGCAACCACACAAAGTAGAACAGTGTTTCCAGAACCTACGGAGGCGATGCCTTCTACTCACGTCCCACCCACCACCGTGGCCCACACAGCCATCCCACCACTTCCAGCCTCCCTTGCTCCAGAAATGGTTCCTGAGGACACATTTGTGGAAGCACCACACTTGGTCCCGGGGTTGCCTGACACAGCTGGGACAGACATGCCTGAGGAAGAGGAGACTACAGGGCAGGAAGCAACTTCTGCTAGCCCTATCCTGAGCCCCGAGGAAGAAGATGACATCCGGAATGTCATAGGTGAGTTCTTCACCCCTGCATTAGATCTCCTCTGGTCGGTTTGGTAAAAGGTAGAGAACGCTGTAGAGAATGGGGACCGGGAAGCTAGGCCTCTAGCTGCGGCCGAGCACTGGACTGGCATGAGCGAGGCTCTGGGTCTCACTCTCAGCTCTGCCAAAGCAACGCAAGAAAGGCCAGGGAGGGTCTGCCTCTGGCCGGCAGTTTTCACAACTAGCAGCATGGCCAACCTTTTGATGTAACATGACATTGCCACCTGCAGAATACTGGAGAACTGTGCTAGAGAGTTACAAAGAAAGAAAGAAACAATCAGAAAACAAAACAAAACCTACAAAAAAAATCTTATATTTTAATTAAGTTTGCAATTTTGTATAGGACTGTAATTTTGACCATCTTTATCCATGGGCTGCCGTTTGGACATTTCTGAAGTGTTTATGTATCTGAATGTGTCAATGACAAGATTAGTAATCTCCTTTCTAAAATACATATGAATGAATAAAATGAAGACCTCACTGTCATGGATGAGTTTTCCAAACATCAGTTGATCCAGTGAGTTTGTGATGGATACTGAAGTGTCCATCAGCACCCGAATAGAGTTTACCACAGCAAGGTTACCAGGACATGAACCAGCAGAGGACTTTTATTGCCAGTGGTCCCAGAGTCACAGCAAAGTAGAGGCAGGTTGTTGGTTAGTTTATGACAACTTGACATAAGCTGGAGTCATTTGGGAAGAGGGAATCCCAACTGAGGAAAATGACTCCATAATATTGGCCTATAGGTGAGTCTCTCGGGCATTTTATTGATTAATGATTGCTGGGATAAAACATCATGACCAAAAGCAACCCAAGGAGAAAGGATTTATTTGGCTCATCATTAGAGAAGCCAAGGCAGGGACTTAAGGCAAGGGTGTGGAGGCAGGAACTGAAGCAAAGGCCATGGAGCAGCGTTGCTTACTGGCTTGCTGATCATGGCTTGCTCAGCCTGCTTTTTTATAGGACCCAGGACCACCTGCCCAGAGATGGCACCACCCACCGTAAGCTGGGCACTGTGCTGGCTGCTGGGAAGGCTGGCAAGAGTTTTTAAGGAAGTTGACATTTGAGTTGGGTTTAAAAGGATGAATAGGAGTGTTCTATGAAGACAGAAAAAGAGAGCCTTCAGACTGGCAGGTTCAATGGTTCAAGGTACATTCTAGAAGCAAGGCGAAGAAAAGGCCTTTTGTTCAGAGAGCTTCATGGCCACAAGATGACTCTGAGAATAAGGAAACCAGGGAGCAGGGGGCTGGGATGGCAAATAGAAATAGTCACAGGAAGTAGCTGACTACCTGGGTATGGTGGCGTGAATTTGAAATCCTAGGACTCAACGGGCCAAGATAGAAGGAGCTCCAGTTTGAAGCCAACTTGGGCTATATAACAAGACCCTAAGTTAAAAAACTGAGTGGCGGGGTGACGCAGTTGAATGATGGGGTGACGCTGTTGGGTGGTGGGATGACCCTGTTGAGTGACAGGGTGACACTGTTGAGTGGCGGGCCTGTCAAATATTTGGGAAATCCATTTGCTTTAACAGAGGGCAAGGTCTGTCTCATTGTCTTCACTCCCTTCTTCCCAGCTCCCATCCCTGTGGTAACCCTGTTCCCGGTCCCTCTTCAGCATATGGTGCAAATTCCAAGAGCAAAGCAGTACACAGGGCACCCACCGAAGGCCACTCATCTGGCACTGTCCCTTCTTTCCCGTCCCTGCCACTGGCAGCAAAGTGATCTTGGCAAAGCCTGACCTTCCTTTGAGTCTCTAATGAAGTGAGCAGTTTGCTGATTTGACTTTTCTTTCATGATGTTCTGTGGTTTTTCTGAGGAAATTTACAAGGCTGTACTATAGTAAGGCATGTTAATTGGGGGAAAGTCTCAGAAAAAATGACAGAGAAAGAGCAGGGGACAGGTAGTGTCTTAATTACTTTTCTTTTGCTGGGACAAAACACCATGATCAAGGCAACTTATAAAAGACAGCATTTAACTGGGCTTCTGGTTTCAGAGGGTTAGGATTCATGATGCTGAAGTGAAGGCATGGTAGCAGGGACAGCTGAGAGCTCGCATCCTGATGTTCATGCAGGAAGCAGAGACAGAAGGGACATTGGAAATGGCAAAAGTTTTTTGAACTCTCAATGCCTGCTCTGGTGACACACTTCCTCCAACAAGGCCACACCTCCTAATCCTTCCCAAACAGTTCCACCAACCGGGGATAAGGAATTCAGACATAAGAGTCAGTGGGGGCCATTCTCATTCAAACCACTACAGGTAAGGTTAGGATCTCAGGGCACAGTCTCAGGCAGGCTCACCAAGAAGGCAGCTCTTAGGTGGCAGAGATAGTGCTAGAGAAGGAGAAAGTGTTTTGTTTTGTTCTTTCTTTCTTTCTTTCTTTCTTTCTTTCTTTCTTTCTTTCTTTCTTTCTTTCGTTCTTTCTCTCTCTCTCTCTCCCTCTTCCTCTCCCTCTCCCTCTCCTCCCTTCATCTCTCTTCTTTCCTCTCTCTGTATTCCTCTCTTTCTCCCTCCTTCCTTCTCTGTCTCTGTCTCTGTCTCTCTCTCTCTCTCTGTGTGTATGTGTGTGTGTGTCTGTGTCTTTCTCTATGTGAGATGTGTGTATGTGCTTAAGTGTGTATATGGGTGTGTATACACATATGTGTGACAGTCCTAAGTTGACACCAGGCATCTTCCTTGATAGCACGCCATGTTATTTGTTGAGACAGGGCCTCTCACTAAACCTAGAGCTTTGGAGTCTAGTGAGTCTAGCTGGCCAGCTTGCCCCTGGAATCTGCCTCCCGAATGCTGAGACTACAGGCAACCAACACACTACCCTGACTTTTAAGTGGGTTCTGGGGACCTGAACCCCAGTCATCATATTTGTGCTGTCCTAACCATCTCTTCAGCCTTTCCTTTCCTCTCCTCTTCTTTCCGTTCCTCTCCTCCTTACCCTTCTCAGCCCTTCTCTTCCCCTCCCCTCCTCCCCCTTCCTCTCCTCTCTCTCCTCTTCTGCCCTTCCTTTTTCTTTCCTTCTTTTTCTCTTATTTTTCTTCCCACTGCATGGATAACTGCCATGCTACCCTCAGGTTACCCTGTAACCATAGCTTTTAGACCCTTCACCTTTCCTGCTCCGTTGGCCCTATATATACACTCCACCGTTCAGCTTCCTGGTGTGCTTGGGTGGGAAGGGAAGTTCCTTTAACTCTTTCACCTTCTGACCCCACTGCCCTTGCTGGTAGCTGAAAAACTCACTGTGAAGATAGCCTACAGATGAGGTCTACAAACCTTTGATCTTGAGGTCATTGGGTTTGAGCCTGGGAGCCTCTGCATAGACAAGAGCCAAAGGCAAACTCCCCACTGTTTCCAGCCTGGATCCTATCTCCCAATCTCTCCTACCTGCCTTGCCAGGTTTTCCATCAATGGACCTTTAAACCAGTGTAACTGCCAATAGGTACTTGTCTGGAGTTCTCTTAGTAGTTCAGCTGGTATGCCCAGAACATCTGTGTCCTGACCCCCATTTACCTGGTGACAGAAGCTGGATATTGGGGACACATCCTCTTGGTGCTCAATATTCTGTTTGCCTGGACTGAGTCTTGCAGACCCTGGCTGGGGATGTTGTTTCAAAGGCATTGGGGTTCCTGCCTCTTCTATCTACCCAGAAAAACAAAAAACAAAACAAAACAAAACAAAAAAAACCCTTGGACAGTGATGGATACAGTGTGTTGTTTGGATGGCAAGAATAGGACAAGAGAGTGGTCCAGGGAAGGAATTATTTTTCCCTTTATTTTTTGATAGTTTCATGCATATATACAATGCATTATGGTTATATTCACCCTCCCTCGTTCTTCTCTCAACCCCATCTTCCTGACTAGTTCCCCTCCCTCAACCATTAGCAGCCAACAGCTCTTCAGGGAAAGGCAGGACCTTGTGGACACCTCCTCTATCTAGGATGGAATGTTGAAGGCTGTGTGTTCATGACTGCATGGGCCATGCCGTATCTGGATGGCAGTGATTTATGTCTGTCCTCCCCATCCTCTGGCTCTTCAATTCTTTCTGCTCCTTGGGTAGTCATTTCTCCTCTGCTGACCAGCGCCTCCCACTGGCTGCGGTTAATGTGGATAAGGTCCTGTTCCTAGGATCCTCTCCGCAAACTCCTGACTTTCTGTGCCTGGCTAAGCAAGAACATGATGTGTTGATATCTCCCAGTCACCAACTGAATAAAAGTCATTTGGCTGGAAGAGGTACAGGCCACTAGGTTGCTGCTGGCAAGGGTGGACTGCTATTTTGTTTTGCCATTTATTTGGGTTTTTTTTGGGGGGGGGGTGGCAGTTTTGATTTTTTTGCACAGTTTAAGATGTGTTTCTTTTTTCTTTCCCTAAAACAAAACAAAACAAAACAAAACAAAATTTGGCCTCCAGGTCATAATTTTTTTTTTTTGCCTCAGCTTCCCAAGTACTAAGATTATTTGTTTAGATTTCTTTTGTTTTTGAGACAGGGTTTGCCACTGTCCTGCAATGTCCTGAAATTTGCTATGTAGCTCAGGCTGGACTTGAATGACTCAGAGAGATTTTCCTGCCTCTGCCTCCTAAATGCTGGGAATAAAAGTGTTTGCTACCTTGCCTGACCTTTTCACGCAGTTTTAAAGGCAGTGTAGCCTAGGTTAGCCTCAACCTTCACCTTCTGGTCCTCCAGACACTTTTTGACTTTTGGAATTATAGGAGTGCATCACCACGCCAGGGTTTATGTAGTGCCCAGGATAGAACCCAGGGCTTCACACATGCGAACTACATCCCCAGCCTCTAAAGGGAATATCTTACCCCAGGTTTCTAGACCTGGTTTTGTGATGGCCTAAAATAGCCAGCACTATCCTCAAGGAAGCTTAAACCTCAGGAAGTTTCTAGCACAGGTAAATGGAGATTGTTTTTCTGATACTGTGGTGTGGCTCTAAGGCAGAGAGAGGGAAGTTTCTGGTAATGTCAAGCAGCAGCCTGGG